CACTCACAGGGGATGGGCCAAAGGAGCCATTTTGGCTCACAGGACCTAAAGATGACAGTGTCTTATTATCATTTTAAGACAGCCTTTTTTTCTTAATTTCTTGCGATTATTTTTGGGGTATCATAGCCATGAGACACAGAAACAAAAGTCGTTTATGTATATTTTACACCAAAAATAGATTGTTCCCCTTTACAAGGTGCTCCCTTACCTCTCTGGGGATGGTTTTTTGTATTTTGTCTTCTCGGCATTTGTTTTACAATCACAGGTTCTTTTTGAAGCAATGTCATCTTTTGCGATAATTCCAATAATCTTCAATGTAGAGAAAGAGTATTTAAGAAAGGCTTAAATATGGAACAGAAACAAAATTTTTAAGAGGTAACACTGAAAACATAGACATCAAAATCACGTACTTGTGTCTCAAGCTGGTAGCTTCCATTTTCTCTTCAGCTATAGCTCTTTCTGCAGCACGAGCTTTGAGCTATTGAAGAAATATATTAAAATTAAGTTCTAGGAGACTATGCACCAAATAAAGGAAAGAAAAAAGAAATCTTACCCAGTTTTCATGAGCTTTCTTCTCATGGGTAATGATCTGAAAGAGATAATACATCACAAAATATGCTTACAGATTCATTATAATGGCCTGTATTAATTATCAAAGAATTTGGGGCACTAAATAGAAGACTAGAATCATTACCTGGTTTTTAAATAACCAGTCTGTTTTCTGTAATTGATCCTCCATTTCTTCTATTCTCCACCTAAGAATTACACTTGACTTTATGAGTTAAAGCACAACCAAATAAAAACCCAAACAATATGACTTTGTTAACTCTTACCCTAACAACTGTACCCTAATAGAGCTACTTTAACTGTTCCTAAATATGTTTCTCAAATATCCCTGTTATCTTCCACTATAAACCCTTTTTTCCTTTTTTCATCCTTTAACTATATCATTAAAAAATTTCCCAAAGTTAGGACTACTGGGTCTATCAAATGGCAAACTCACTTTAATGGCTTTTGATACATCATGCAACAAACTGACCCCTCGCTGCCCCTACCCCAAGAACTGTTTGCATGAACCAAGTTCCCTTATAGTTTTGCCAGCACTGAGTAGTTGTTAATATTTTTCCATTTGTTAACTTAATATTTAGTTTTTCTTTTGTGTGAATTTATGTATTCATGTCCTCTAACCATTTATTTATGCTTTTGTGCTAAAAAAAATAAAAATAAAAAACAATTTTATTAGCCAGTGACATCGTCTTTAGAGGGTGAACTTACTTGTAAGTTTTTACTTCCTCTGCAGCCGAAACTGCCTTTTCATTGGCAGCTGATAGCCTCTGCTCTCTTTCCTGTCGCTCATACTCTTCTTGACTTAATTTCCTAAGATAAAACTGGTTGTCAGTGAAAGTATTTCTCTTTTCCTCCTGGCATTCTGTCTGAATGCTCTATTAAAATGTCACTTCCTATCCTATTCTTAAAAATGCACAGACTATACAAATTCATAGGATGGAATTCAAACTGTCCTTTAGGATAAAAATCCAACTGTGGCCTGTTGATACATCACCTGTATTTTCTAATGTCTCATAATTCTTTCCTCACTAGTAAGTAAATGTAATTAAAATAACACTATGTGTCCCATGGGAAAGACTGTTATGTTGAAATGATGAATGCTCACTTTTCTTTAGTGTGGAAAGCCAGGACTGATCAACCGAACACAGTTAAGCTTATTAGGATAAAGCAGGGGATAATTACTTATCTTATTTTTTTTATTGCATTTTAGGTTTTGGGGTACATGTGAAGAACATGCAAGTTTGTTGCATAGGTACACACATGGCAGCATGGTTTGCTGCCTTCCTTCCCCTCACCTGTATCTGTCATTTCCCCCCATGCTATCTCTTCCCACCTCCCCACCATGGAATATCTTATTTTTAACCATGGAAAAACCACTAATTAATTTTCTTATGGGCTGTTTCTCAATCCAAGACTGGTACCATGATAAAGACAGCCAATGAAAGGGCTTTTTAGAAAATGCCTTCTAACTGTACGGTTAACCACAGAACATTTTCACACTTCAGATATGGAGCTCCCTTACATATTTCAAAGGAATCATGATTAAGCAGAGAGACAAATCTGAGTATTGCCAATGTCTGTTGAACAGAAAAAGAATCCAAACTGTCCTGTAATCAGGGTGCTATGTCCTGAAAATTGGTTTTAATCTGATAAATTTCAAGCTCAAGATGTCAACTAGTGTAACACAGATTGTAAAGGCAGCAACATTTAATGGATTAAAAGTGTTGCTTGTAGTTACCCTTGTACTTCTTTACTCATAGTTCTGATACAAAAGATACTTGAAACTTTTCTATAAATTGGAAACAAAAATAGAGGAACTATAGTAAAAAAGGTTATTAACACCAAAGAGAAAAAAGTGTACGTATTCTTTTATAACTGCTCATTTACTATTTCAGCAAATATTTTGTGAGTGGTTATAACATACTAGTTACCTTATAAGAGGCTAAGATAAAGGTTTGGGTATGGTAAGTACTACCTCTGCACTAGAAGAGCTCACAGTTGAATGTATAAAAGGTACGTATAAGAATAGAACAAGCCCTCTCTGACTCCGGCTTAGGAGGGGATGTGTAAAAAGCAAGTCTTAAAGAAAGATTCCCAACACTGAAAATAAGAACATATGGACAAAAATATAAAGAAGGTGCTTGAAGGCCTCAGAAAGCTAATAAGGCAGTGCAGAAAATCCAGTAAGAAAAACCACAGCATTATAAGTAATCTGCATTTTAAGCCATTGTCCCCCAGGTTCATCCACACATTAAAGATAAACCAGACATATACGAAGGTTGAGAAAAACTTTCAACAGATCCCTGGGTTCAGAGAAACAAGAGGTGAGTTCAGAGCTGACAATGAGAAGACCCCTGAGAAAGAGCCCTAGGCTTTGGGTTGAGCCCAGAGAAGAGCTGCACACTTGGAGTACTGAACAGGCAATATAAAGTCCTTTAAACAGACTAAGCCATTTTTCAATGAACTTAATAGCTAATTGGAATAAATTGATGACCACCTTCTAGAGGTAATCTCAAATCTTTTCTGTAGGATGATAACATTATCCGGGACCTCAAATTCCCCCTACAAATTTTCATAAACAATGTTCAGCACTTTATCAGAACCAACCAGGCATTTCATAAGACAAGACAATGTGATTGCAATCTAAAAGACAAGAGAAACAGACTCATAAGGGATCCGCATGATAGGATTACCACATAGATTTTAAAACAATTGTGCCTTACATATTGAAGGAAGTAAAAGTCATGATTATGAATTTCAGCAGAGGATCAGAAAGTGTAAAAGTAAAAAATAGTAAGTGAAACCAAAAAGAACTCAATTAATGAGTACAGCAGATTAGATAACTGAGGTTGGATTTTAGCACACTGGAAGATACGTCAGAAGAAAACATCCAGAATGAAGCAAATTCAGGATGTAGGAGCACTGGGAAAGGGTAAGAGCACTGGGCAAGGATGAGGGATCTTAGTATGTTTAATTGGATTCTCAGCAATTCAAGAGATGTTTATAACCTCAAGCAGCATAAATGCAAAAGAAAAAGCAGGAGGGTAGGGGTGGAGGGGTGATGACAAAACCCTACATGAGGCATCTCTCAATAAAATTGCTGAAAAAACAAAAAGAAAAATGACTAAAGGCAGCTAGGGAAGGCATGATGTATTTGAAAAAGAGAAAATAAGAATGATAATAGATTCCTCAAAGAAACTTTAAAACCAGTAGATAATTGGTTACCCTTAAAGTGCTGGTATTAAACAACTATCAAAATTCCATAACCAGTAGAAAGATCCTTTTAAGGTTGGGCACAATAGCTCACACCTGTAATCCTAGCACTTTGGGAGCTCAAGGCATGTGGATCACCTGAGGTCAGGAGTTCGCGACCAGTCTGACCAACATGGAGAAACCCCATCTCCACTAAAAAAAAAACCAAAAAACGAAATTAGCTGGGCATTGTGGTGCATGCCTGTAATCCCAGCAACTCGGGAGGCTGAAGCAGGAGAATCATTTGAACCTGGGAGGTGGAGGTTGCGATGAGCAGAGGTCGCGTTGTTGCACTCCAGCCTGGGCAATAAGAGTGAAACTCTGTCTCAAAAAAAAAAGATCTTTAAAATAGAGTCAAAATAAAGACATTTTCATACAAAAATAAACTCACTGAACCTGAATTCAGGTATATTCTTCAAATAGAATGACAGTGATCGCAAATGGAAGACTGAAGATGTAGGAGAATAAAGTATGATAGTAACTATAAATATGTATGTAAATTGAGTATCAGCAGGATAGCACTGTAAAACACAAAACATTTTGTGGTTTGAGCTATATAGAGCATTACAATAAATTACCATAATAACATTTAAGTCAGAAGGAAGTTAAAGCCCAGAATGAGGTAACTCTTCAGCCTGGTGTCTGGTGTGGTGGTTCATGCCTGTAGTCCCAGCACTTTGGGAAGCTGAGGTAGGCAGATCATGAGGTCAAGAGATTGAGAACATCCCGGTCAACATGGTGAAACCTTGTCTCTGAAACAAAATACACCTCTACTAAAAATACAAAAATTAGCCAGGCATGGTGGTCGGTGCCTGTAGTCCCAGCTACTTGAGGCAGGAAAATCGCTTGAACCAAGGAGGCAGAAGTTGCAGTAAGCCAAGATTGTGCCACCGCACTCCAGCCTGCCGACAGAGAGAGACTCTGTTTAAAAAAAAAAAAAGTAACTCCTCTATGAAGAAAGAGTTACTTTATGTCAGACTTCGTAGTTAAGTCCAAGATACCTACTGTGGCCTTTAAGGTAATCACAACAAGACAAGTAGAACAACTTGTAACCATCAAGCTTAAATAGAAAAGAGCAGAAGAATTTAAAATAATCTAACAATTCAAAAAAAGGAAAAAGGAACATAGAACAGGCCATCAAATAAAGAGCAGATACCAATATGTAGATTTAAACTCAAATATATTTTAGGAATTACATTTAAGAAGCAAATGAGTGCTCAGTCTGTGTAGCTACCTATTTATCTATGCTACTCACTCCAGAAAAGATTTTTAGGAGCATGAACATGTGAGTAGGTAGGTGACTGCCAGGCAGAAACAATAAAGGACATTTTTACTGCAGAAAAAACAGCACACATAAAGACAAAGAAGTTTGGAGTGGCATGGAGAACTGTTGAGTGTCTACAGTTCAAGAAGCAGCAGAAGAAACCACAGGAAGTGCACTTGGAGAGGCAGCTCAGGGCTAGCTGAGGGGAAAGTGGCCTCTGTACCTGTTACGGAGTATGGAATTGACCCTCAGGGGAATGGAGCATAATTGATAGATTTCAAGCACATAATGACATGGACAGACTTGTATTTTAGAAAGTTCAATCTAGCAGCTATAGAGACAATCAGAATTTGGAAGCAGATGTATAAGAAAGACTGAAGATAGATAGGTGATTAGCTAGGGGACTGGCATAAAAGATGACAAGAGCCTGTCCACCCCTGTGACTTTAGGGGTGGACAGCAGAGTACAAAACACACATGAAGACTGAATGAATGTTGTGGCACATAAATGGGTTAACTGGATCATGAAGAAAACAGTTGCCATTTAAGTAATTCACATTACTACTGGAGGCAGAGACGTGCTGTTTTTTAAAAAGGAATGAAATGAGGAATGTCTCTCTGAAGCAGGACAGGCATTTAGAGCTGGCCTGAGCAAAATCTGGAAAATCTAAACTGGCTTCTTGGTGAGTAAAAAATTAGAGAAAAAGTTAATGGTATAGTTTTAATGTTTAATGGCATACGGCAGTAGCAGACTAAGCATTTTAAAAGGTTAAATTTGTTTAGCAAGCAAGGTCTTCTCACACACTGCCATATATACCACAGAGTAAAACATAAGAGCAAACACAAATAGTAACTGCCACGGACAATCTATTTTTAGAGAATTCAGATGTTTTTGTGGAGATAAAACTTGAAATGAATTATAAAAATATAGTTTTCAAAAGATACCTAGCTCAAAATTTGAGATGCATATTTCAGAAGATTAGTATCTAAATACATACACCAAATAGTTCTATATTCAAAACTCCTCATCGTTGCCACAATTACATTTAGTCTGAATATTTGACTCTGTGAAGTCCAAAACTTAATGTACCTTTAGTAAGTAAAATTTCCTTTTTTGAAGTTTTTATTCTACTAAAACACATGTCATACAAATCACTCAGACTTTTTAAAGGAAATTACATAATTGACCACAAAGAAAGGAAAGTAAAATAAGTGGTGGAGCCACAGAAAAGCATGGACAGATCTTCACAAGAGAAGCACTTCCACAGCAGTAACTGTCAGGACCAGTCAATCGCTCTGCCTTACATGAGTTACAGGCGGCAGTTTCTGACAACTGGTTAGAAAGGAAAGAAAAATGCAGGTTATAAGAAGCAAAGCAGATAGGAAGAAATACAAATTTGTACTAATTAGACATGGAAAAATGTATAAGCAATCCTAAAAAAAGAAAATATTGTCTATATTAGTACACCTTTATTTAGACACATGACAGTGAACAGTAAATGATGAAAATCTTACTTTTGCAAAGCCATCTCCTTCTGCTGATACAGTTCATTCAGAATCTCCACCTTCTGCCTCAGGGTTCTGTACTCATCTTCCCGTCCATCTTTGGCAGATTGCAGTGAGTTGCGGTCATCTTCCAATTTCTTTATCTGGTCTGCAAAGGGTAAAACATTTGAGTTCTATGTGTGTGCACAAGAACTTGAGAACTTGGTTGGGGGTTTGGTGCTGAGAGGATTGAGAAGTATGAAAGCAGGAAACCACTCTTTATCTATCTAATGCAATTTTGCATTTTTCCAATACATAGCAATTTCTTCTCAAGAAGCAACCTACCTTCCAGGTTACATTTAGTGGACATGGAGGCTTTTAGCTTAACTTGTAAACATTTTAGATCCTCTTCAACTACCGATATTGCAGTCTGTGTCTAAAAATTACAGAAGAAAGAAGTATTCATATAAGGGAGACTCAGTGAAAGCATTCACAGGCACTTATGAGACTCTAAAAAAGGATTATACCCGAGAGACATCCATCATCTGCTTAATTTGATTTTTCATCTTCTCATTCCGGTCACCTAAAAAACAAAAGACTTACATTGCTTTTTCTTCCCTTGCATTTTCAATCTGTATTTTCTTGGCTTATGCAAAACTAAACAATTATCATGTTCAAACATTTAAAGAACAAACGAAAATAGAACAGGATTAGACTGACTTTTAAGAGAACTGCAAACCTAGATCCAAAAAGTGAATTCCCATTTGCACAATAAACATGCTTATACATGCCATTCTTGAGCAAGAAGGAACATGTGAGATGAAGCTCTGTCTTCTATCTCAGATCTATCTCCACCTGGGCTTAGTAAGTGTCTCATTCAGAAACATTCCCTCCTATTCTCCTCCAGAATCTGCTATCAGGTGTGGTTTAAAACACTCACTATGTAAGCAATGTCCAACTTGAGAGACAACATCTAGAAACACTTTCCTCATCAGTAAACACTGCTACCGTATAGCTTCCACTCTCATGGCCTTAGTTTCTGGATCCAACCACCTCAGTACTCTTAAAACCAGTTGTGGTTTTCTCTCATGGCCTTAGTTTATGCCTCCAATCACCTTAGTACTCTTAAAACCAGTGGTGGGCCTTAAAACCAAACAACTCTTGAGATGACGAGTTTTAAAATGTTATCTCCACTCAATTGAGAAATACAGTTTCTACTACTGTATATGTTCAATACTTAGAGGTGTAAGACATGACCAGTACATCTCCTGTGCACCCTTCTAGTCTCAAGGAGATGTAAAAACAAAGTCAGTGTTCCTTGCATGCTCATCGCTATGCCATACTCTAGCAATCCACCTCTGCCCAATCAAACAGACATATACACAAATCCAGTGATATGTGTTAACAACTCTAAAGCTTAAGAGGAAATGCAACCAGATGAAAAGTAGCATTAGTGTACTTAAAGATAGGAAGGGAAAGGGGGTCCATCCTCCTTGAGACTGATGTTATCTGCCACTTCTCCATTTGCTAATTCATCTGAATCATTTCCTCCTTTATTTTGACCCTCGGATTCAGATTCACACTCTAATTGATTCAACTGTGTAATGCAATTTGTCAAAGCCTAGAAAAGAAGTAAAAGAGCATTAAAGTCTTTCCATTTTAGTTCAACAGATTTCATGATAATACACAATTAAGCTTGTATTCATGAGAATGCACTTACATTAATATTGTCATCCTTGTGAGTAAGAGCTACTTCCAAATCTTTCTGAGACTTCTCAAATGATTTGATTTGCTCACTGAGCTCAGCATGTAATTTTCTCCAGTCTTCAATTTCCTGCTGCAACTGAAAATTTAAAGCACAGGATTCCCACAGGTTAGGGCTTTTGCACTGGGGACAAGACCAAGTGAATGAGACAGGGAGGTAAGGAGCCATGCCTGTCCTTAGCCTGTCACTATGGGCTAAGACCTTGGTTAAGTAGGAGGAGAGAGTGACCCCAATCCTCGGAGCTGTCGTGAGAACATCAGAGCTGACAAGGAAATTGATCTTGTTTATTGCATCCTCCAGAAAATTATAGCCAATTCAAATAATTCACTTCCAGAAGGAACTGAAGGGCTCATCCTACTATCTCTCAAGTCTAGACTCCTGATCATGTAACCTTCCTTTAGCTAGTGAAGCAGTAACTACTAAAAGGAGGGTGATAAAATATCTAATTCTTAAGTCTAAAAAGTCAATCTATTACCCACTTAAGGCTACTCAAGTTAATAGTAACTGGTGTTTGACAAAACAAGACTAAACAGTCTGATGGGCAAAATAAATTGTACAGAACAGAAAAACCAAAACAAACAGAAAGTGTAAACCTATACTCAATTTTAGAAGTATAGTTTAAACTCTGTATATCTAAGAACAGAATCCTGCATGTACATTACCTTAAAAATAGATCTGAAAAAAGGTATTCATGTGATATGATACTGAGTTCTCTATTTTACATGACCCAGGACATGTACTTTTCTTTACCTGCTCTTTTTTCTTCTTAAGCCTAGCATTTTCTTCTTGAACCTGATGGCATTCAGACTTCACTTTCTCTTCACTAAGTTTAGCTTCATTAAGTGCAATCTGAATCTAATGCAAAACACTCCTATTAGTGAATTAATTCCAAAGAAAACCAAAAAAAGTTACTTTCCCAATGTAACATCACATAGTTTTCATTTTTTACACATTTTAGCACATGTCAAATTTTTGCTCCTCAATAAAACTATGGTATAGTTTTAATATCCTTATAGTCAGCTTTACCTCTGAAAATTCTGAAGCATTCATGGAAATATCATGTTTTAACTTCTCTATAGAGCTCTTGTTTTCTGATATCTGCCATGTAAAAACGGAACACAAAATGCATAACAGGATTTCAGTAGAAACACTGGGACATACACTAAAAAGAGGAAACATCAACCAAGTAAATTCCAGAGCCATCCTGTGTTTCAGGGAAAAGCAGGTTTTTCAGTTTTGCCCTAGGGAAAAATCAAGAACTTAAAAAGGTAAAGGAAAATAATCAAAGGTGTAAATATGGCATACACAACCTTCCTCATTAGAATAAAATGTGGTACATGGTGAGACTAAAAGATGAACAAAATGAAACTGAAAAAGCTTTCAAGTTGACCAGTTCAAATCAATGTGTTTTTTTTCCCCTTGGTGCAAGAGAGAAAAAAAATCCCCAAGGCACTTTAAAAATTCTCTTGCCTAAATTAAAAATGGTAGAATTGGAGTGAGAATAGGCAGATCATGCATATACAAGAATTCCAAATAATTTATGAAGATCCTGGCTCCTCAAGGGGATGGTGCATAATCCTTCACTTTTTAATGGTGGGCTGCGTTACTAACTTCCTTCCAAAGAGTACAACAATGCAAAAGGTTAAAAAAAAGTAATTTTACAGTGAAGAAATCTGGCAATACTAAGCTCCGTCAGGTCGTCAAGATTAATAGGATGTAGGATTTATGGGAACCCTCTTTACTATCTTTGCAATTTTTATGTCATTCTGAAACTATTCTATTAATAAAGTAAAAAGGTTATACTGGAAAAAAAAACTTTGCAAAACAAAACGCAAGGACTGTTCAACTGGGTTGTGGTTTCCTAGTTGCTAAACATGTTTTGGACGACAGAGCCAAGCAATACAACAAGTACCTAGTCCTAGGCCCGTAAGAGTAACTTCTTGTGTAAGTACTTAAAATCCCACAAAAACGGACAGAAGTAGGTTCAACTTCCCTGACTCACACTCTTACTTCACAGAACACTGTGGAAAATAAAAAGTTCAAATCCATCTACAGAGTTCAAAAACCAAATTATTAGTAACACCTAGCAGCAAAACTCTTACCAAATCCTGATTCTTGACATTCTGTTCTCTCTCAGATTCTAACATAACACGAAGATTTTTAGCTCTGTCACCCAGAATTTCATTATTTTTTTCAAGTGTCTTGATTTTATCCTACAAAAAAGATATTAAGATTAGTTGTATTCATTAATTTTTACTTTTGTTTTAAAATGTAATCCCCAAAAGAAGTTTTTACCTTAAATTTAATGGCTTTATCAGAGAGAATCATATTTTGTTTCCTGGTTTCTTGAATATGTTTCTTTGATTCCTCGATCTACAAAAAATAAAGCATTCAGAATCCAGAAATACAAAGTATTGTGCTATTGGAACTTACTTTGAAGTGACTGACCTCTTATAGAAGAAAACAGTACTTTACACACATGATTGCTTAAGCTCTGGATTGTTTATAGGAATTAATGGAATAATAAATATTATTTTAAAATACCATAGTAACTGAACTATAAGACAGGTGAAAAATCATTCAAGCTGGGACCATGGGAAAAAAAGCAAAAGAATAATTATACCTTCTGCTCATAATTTGACAATTTCTGTACAAGTTCTGTATTTTCTTTCACAATAATCTTCACCTTCTCAGAAATCTGCTGTTCGGTGACTGAAAAAAGAAAATATATAAGGTTATTATGATCACTAAATGAAACTGAATTACCCAATGTATCAGCAGAAAGAAATGTTATCTGGCATTATGAGAAAAAAGAACTTCTTAACATAACTATTATGGTTTTGAAATGTGATATGGTTTGGATTCTGTCTCCATCAATCTCAAGTCAAATTATAGTCCCCAATGTTGGAGGTGGGGCCTGGTGGGAGGTGATTGGATCATAGGGGTGATTTCTCATGAGTGGTTTATCACCATCCCTGTGGTTCTGTTCTTGTGACAGTGACTGAGTTCTTGGGGAGTCTGGTTGTTTAAAAGTGTGCAGCATCTCCCCACTCACTCTCTCTTGCTCCTGCTTCTGCCATGTAAGTTGACCTGCTCTTGCTTTGCCTCCTACTATGGGTAAAAGCTCCCTGAGGCCTCCCCAGAAGCAGATGCCACTATGCTTCCTGTATAGCCTGCAGAATTATGAGCTAATTAAACCTCTTTCTCATAAATTACCTAGTCTCAGATATTTCTTTTTTTGAGATAGGGTCTCAGTCTGTTGCCCAGGCTGGAGTTCAGTGGCACAATCTCAGCTCACTGCAAACTCCACCTCCCGAGCTCAAGCAATTCGCCTGTCTCAGCCTCCCAGGCACCTGAGACCACAGGTGTGTTCCACCACACCCAGCCAATTTTTCTATTTTTTTAATAGAGATGGGGTTTCTCCATATTGCCCAGGCTGGTCTCAAAATCCTGAGCTCAAGCAATCCCCCTGCCTTGGCCTCCCAAAGTGTTGGGATTACAGGCATGAGCCATCATACATGGCCTTGAGTATTTCTTTACAGCAGTGTTAGAACAGATTAATACAAAAAGCGATCTGCTAATAAGAATAAGAATGTAAAAATATTGTTACAACTTAAGAAAAATATAATAAGAACCTTTATTTCAATGAGAGTCTAATTTAAATTTATTTCCAAGATGGAAAACCCAGTAAAACGTTATAGGTCAATATTACTCCCTGCATGAAGCACTTTTTATTCTCAGAAAATGGCATCACTTCAAATATGTCATTTGCAAAGAGAAACAGAAAATGCAAGCATGCTGATTTGTATTTATAGTCCTGAAATTATCTACTTAAATAAATATTTAATGTACTAAATCATTAGCACAGAAAAACTGGTCACATGTAATAAACTAGTACATCAGTGTTTACAGTAAATCTGCCCCCAGTGAAACTAATCTCCCTACTCCCATAATCTGTTCCTCCTCATCTCCTATCTCAGTTGGTAGCATCACCATTTATTCTATCATCCAAGCTAGCAACCTAGGAATAGGAAAGTTTTCAGAAGCTGTAAGTCACTCAGACATCAGAAGTCACTAAAACTACTTACATATAAAAGCCATATCAAACACCAGTACAGAGGGAATAGTACAAATAACAAAACAAACCTAAAGATTTACCTTGATATACTCTACTCTTTGCCTAGAAAAGAGAAATAAAAATTAAATTGTATGTCAAACATTTCATTAATAGGTGTATACAGTTCCTAACACAACAGTTGGAATTATAACCAAATGGGACTTTAATAACAGTTTGCTTTGGCATAATAAAAGATTAAAAAAATTAAAAAGGTTAAAAAGCATTTCAAATTTAACCAGTAGTTATATGTTGCAGTCTGACAGATAAAGCACTAAGATATATATATGTTTACATATCTAAATGAACACCAGTCTTATGAAATGAGCACTTAACTTGAATAACAGAAATGGCTAATATTTTTATAATAAATATATTAACGTTTTATTTACTCAAAGTCACTTATTTGACAACTCCAAAGAACCAAAATGAAATCTAAAAACATTGACTGCTCAAAAAGACTCTGAGGAAACAAAATTAAAGGTATAATCTTCGTACTAAGATACACCTCTTTTGCTTTCCAGAAAATATCTCAGAAAACCTATTCAAAGTTGACTACTGGCTGAACTTAGAAACAATTCTATTAACACTAAGGTAGATCATTTGACTTTCTTAGACCACTAAAAACAGTGCTCATGAACCTGACAGGGAAGGGAAGATTGCTAGAGGAAAATGCACAAGCAACAAGAGAAATGACAACTATCATCTTCCTAAAAGGGCAAAACCCAAATCATCCCCCAAAGACATCACTAAATTATGGGACAATGAAAGCCAAGCAGTAACTAATTTTTAAAAAAGAGTATTACTACATTTCTTTGCAGCCCAGAACATATTTATCCCTTTCAAATGTTATAAATGGTGATGAGATACTAACACCAGTTCACAAATCAACCATAATAATCTCACTAAATTAATATACTGTTTACATAATACACTGTATAATATACTATTATTATATATAGTAATTAATATACTGTATACATAATAATTACAGTATCTAAATCTCACTTAAAATACTATTATTATAGGAATATGCATTCAGAAATTTCCAGCATGGAAAGAAATTACTATCTCTCTAAAGGCCTTGTTAATGAGAGTAAACTTTCTGTGCTCCATTTCACCCAAACTAACAGGCAAGCAGAGACCAAGATTCCAAAACTCAAATGCTGTAGGCTGAGGAACAGCAGTTAGGACAGAGAGTCTATATAACTTTCTGAAAAACAAAAAAAGGTGTTAGTTTATTTATTAATAAATAGGAGAAACAAGAATGGGAAATGTAAAATGTTTTCACCTTTTCCCTTTCCATTTACCCTTTAATTCTCCCTTTTTATCTGAGAAAAACACCCATGAGGTTCGAGAAAGCCTCACAGGAAAAAAGACTCTTCTTTATAAGCGATTTTACAATCAACTCTGAAAGCAGAGAAAAATTATTAACGATGATATATATGATATAATTATAAAATCAGAAAAAGAATACTTAGTTTTAGAAAGATTTGCATTCAATAATTTTGGCCATTTTAACTGTTAAATTTCAATCAAAAGTTTTTCATATCTACAAAGCTCATTTATACAAAATAATCTTCTCCCAATTATGTTAAATAACATATTCTCCCAAATATCTTAAGCTAAATGCAATACAGTATAATCATAAGTATGTACAAGTATGAGTATATACACTTATAAGTACATATGTTTAAGTCTGAACGACAAATTCTGCACAGAAGACTAAAAGATTTTTAAAAATTAATGGTGTGTCTTTGCTCATGATATAATCTGTATTTCCAAATAAAAAAATACTTAGAGTAAAATGGTACATAATCAAATCGAAAACACACATCTTTTAAAAACTGAAAACTTACCTCATCTAAAGAATTTTTATCATTTTGTTGTATTTCCTTGCAGCATTTATTTTCTGTGTGTATATTTACGATATACAGTTTATCTACACGTTAAAGGCTTAGTTTCTACTTTTTTTCTACTTCATGTTAAATTGTGAGTATTTGTTGTGCTCCTGTTTTTGAATTATATAAAGCAGACTAATATCCCATTATATGAACATAAAATAATTTAACAATTTTCCTACTGTGAATCACGGTAGGTTGTGCAAAGTTTCACTCTAATAAATTCTGTTCCATTGAATGCTCTTATGTAAGATATTTAAAACTTTTTTTTTTTTGATATAGATTCTCACTCTGTTGTCCAGGCTGGAGTGCAGTGGCATGATCTGCCTCCCCAGTTAAAGTGATTCTCCTGCCTCAGCCTCCAGAGTAGCTGGGATTACAAGATTCTGCCACCACACCCAGCTAACTTTTGTATTTTTAATAGAGATGGGGTTTCATCTTGTTGCCCAGGCTGGTCTCAAACCCTTAGCCTCTTGTGATCCACCCACCTCGGCCTCCCAAAATGCTAGGATTACAGGTGTGAGCTACCAGGCCCAGCCACGAAAAATATTTAATGTATAACTGGTTATTTCTTTTCTTTCTTTCTTTTTTTTTTTTTTTTTGAGATAGAATCTCACTCTGTGGCCTGGGCTGGAGTGCAGTAGTGCATCTGGCCTCACTGCAGCCTCTGCCTCCCAGGTTCAAGGGAGTCTCTGCCTCAGCCTCTCAAGTAGCTGGAATTACAGGCGTGCACCATGACACCCAGCTAATTCTTTAATTTTTAGTAGAGATGATGTTTCATCATGTTGGCCAGGCTGGTCTCAAAATCATGGCCTCAGTGATCTGCCTGCCTTGGACTCCCAAAGTGCTAAGATTACAGGTGTGAGCCACCATGCCCAGCTGACTAGTTATTTCTTTTGGATAGATTACTAGGCATGATATTAATACAATATAAAGGGAGATAACCATTTTTAAGACTTCTGACACACATCATGAAACTACTTTTCAGGATGGTTCTAAAAATTCCCAATTTTACCAACAGTGTACATATGACTTATCTAATTCTTGTTTTTTCTTTCCTTTTTGAGTTGAGATAAAGATCCAACTAATTCTTATTATTTAAATTTTGATATAAGGGACATATAAATTGAAATTTTCCTGTTGAGATTATACATGTCATCTTGTTTACTTAAGAATTTATCAACACAAGGGCTGAGCATAGTGGCTCATGTCTGTCATCTCAGCACTTTGGGAGGCCAAGGCGGGTGGATCACAAGGTCAGGAGTTCAAGGCCAGCTTGGCCAAGATGGTGAAATCCCATCTCTACTAAAAATATGAAAAAAAAAATTAGCTAGGAATGGTGGTGGGTGCCAATAATCCCACCTACTCAGGAGGCTGAGGCAGAGAATTGCTTGAACCCGGGAGACAGAGGTTGCAGTGAGCCAAGAGCTGCCTGGAGAACAGAGCAAGACTCTTGTCTTAAAAAAAAAAAAATGATAACTTACCAAGACAAAAAATACACCAAATTATTTTACAGGGTTAGCTTGAATTAAAAGTGTTAATTTCTGTTCATGTTAGTAACTAAAATAGAAACAAAAGGGCTATGATTATAAAAGCATACTTGAATTTATGAGATATAGTATACATTAATTTACTCACAACAAGGATAGTTCTCCAGAAGAAAACAGCAACTGAAGCAATTCCCAAGAAGGCAGTGATAAGTACAGGTTTCCATGGCAGTCCATAAAAATCAGGCCCAGGCTGAACATCATCAGGCAATGTAGAAACTAGCTGAAAAGGGCATGTTAGAAATAATGAGAAACCTTAAAGAAACTTAACATAAAGCAGTCACAAAGACTCATCCATAGAAATTCTAAAACAACTCTGTCAGATACCTATCCCCTCAAAAATTTTACATAGCTCTCACTGTTTCAAGAAAAATAGGACACTGGGAGTTTTATACTCATTGTTTGGCTTGTAGTGTTTCGAAGTATTATGAGTCTAAATGTCTTTAGGTTGAGCATGTATTTCTAGTTTGCAACAGGACCTGATACAATATGTTATCTAAAACATGGCTAGAATCTCTCTGGAACATACTTTTCTCTTGAATAAGTTGGTTTTTGTTGCTTAAGAAAACACATAAGACAACTTTAGATATACAAGTGATCAACTTTTTATGGCTAAAAATACAACCAATATTATGATAATGAATACCATAAAGAATGTGCTATTCCTCTTAGATTTACAATCTTAAATCAACTCTTACATAAACAAACAAATGCTGAGTAAATTATGATAGCTTCTGATAACTGATCTACATAAACTGCTTTGAATTTAGTGCCTTAATTCTAAATGTTTCCTTGAAGACAGTACATTAAACACCTGTCTGCTCTATGATGTTTTCACGGTCCTCTACAAGTACACTATCATACTGGTCTCATCCCCCAACAGAGCCGCGGGCTATAGTGAAAAGACCTGTAGACTGTGTTTAGATCATGACTGTACCCCAGAACACAAAGTGCTGTCATTTTGTTAAGTACTCAATTAAAAAAGAAAGTGACAAAACCTCAAACACACTTCCACCTGACTCCCTAAACAGCATAAAACGTCTTGCCTTCCTTGAATCTGACACTCCATTTCTCCTTTGCATAGACAATCAGTGCACCCACTCTGCTTAGAATTCGTCCACCTGCCTGCCAAAGGTGGGGTCCCTCCCTGGGAATGGGGACCGTCACCTCCAGCAGCTTGGCTATGAAGGCTGTGTAGAGCACCGACAGGGGTCCCAGAAGTTCCCAGTCCCCCAGGGTATCGGGGAGAGAAGATACAGTGGCAGGTACTGAGTCCATTGTGTAGAACAGCTGAACACAAGCGACACTTCCCTGCGGAATGGCACTGGGTCCCTGTGTTTCAGAGCTTCCTCCTTCGGAAAGGCCCCAGTTCAGGGGGCGGCCACTGGGATTGAACTCCGCCTTCCACAGCTGCGGCCACTTTCACTTGAGGCCTCCTATAAAACACGTCATCAGCCACTGCCCTCTGGCACACGTCACCGCACCTAAGGAGCCAGCCCGTGGGGGTGGGGCTAGAGTGGACGGAACCAACTGTCGAGGGAGCGGGGGTGAAAGGGCAGATAGAGCTGGAGCGAAAGAATCCAGGTAAAGAGAGGTGGGGGTGAGTGGAGCTTCCGCCAGGAACCGGCAATTTAAAAAGCCCGGAGCGAGGGAACCAGGGAGCTACCCAGAGGATTCTGGGTGGCAGCTGAGTAAATGGAGAAAGGCAGGCCTCTTGTGCCAGCGGGAGCTGGCCCTTCCTGTCACAGTGTGTAAGGACCACCACCCAGATGTGGTGCCATTGCCCTGAGTGGTCTTTCTGCCCTGCCCACTCAGTCCTCTGCTTATTGTTCCACCTCCAGGCCTCCATTGCACACACTCTCTTACATTCTTGCTGACATGATGCTCTATTAAAAAGCCTTGCCCAGGAGTCATGTCATCATGTCACCTCCCCCCATGCACAGGTGTTCAGTTATGGGTCCCACTTTTTAGTTTAGATGATGGCTGTGGGGAAGAGGAGGGAGTCTCCCTATGTTGCCCAGGCTGGACTCGAACTCTGGAGCTCAAGCCATCTGAGAAGCTGGGACTACAAGTGCCTGGCCACATCTTAAAGTTATATGGCTTGCGGAAAAGGACAAGGATAATGAATAGTATGGAAATCACATTCCAAAAGTTGAAGAAACTGGAGGTATTTGATATGTGGGGGAAACATGATAGCTGTAAATAAAGATACCATTCTTAGACCTTTAAAGGTCTATCTTTGGCCAAGCACAGTGGTTCATGCCTGTAATTCCAGCATTTTGGGAGGCTGAGGTGGGCAGATAACGAGGTCAAGAGATGGAGACCATCCTGACTAATGTGGTGAAACCCCATCTCTACTAAAAATACAAAAATTAGCTTGGCATGGTGGCACATGCCTGTAGTCCCAGCTAATCGGGAGTCTGAGGCAGGAGAATCACTTGAACCCAAGAGGCGGAGGTTGCAGTGAGCTGAGATCGAGCCACTGCCCTCCAGCCTGGCAACACAGCAAGACTCCATCTCAAAAAAAAAAAAAAAAAAAGAAAAAAAGAAAAAAGAAAAAAGAAAAAGAAAAGAAAAGAAAAAGCCTAAACTCAACTCGGAGGAACAATCAAGCAAGAAGAAACCCTGAGAAAGAAGAGAAATGAAGGGTTCAATGTGAGAGGAGAGTGGGATCTATAATCACAGAATGGTACTGGTCCAAGAATGTATACAGATCACAGGGCAGAATAAAATATCCAGAAATAGACCCAACTGCACTGGAAATTTGGGATACAGCAAGTCAGCTGAGGTAAAACAGTTTTTAATAAATGGTATTACATATCTAGATAACAACATGGAAATGATAAGATTGGATCTTTTTCTTACATTCATAAACTCCAAGTGAATCAGAAACCTGAATGTAAACAATGAAAACAAGTAGTAGAAAAAATTGTGTGAATGTCTCTATGTATTATGTGAGTGGAGAAGACCTTCCTAATTATGTATCAAAATCCAGAAGCAACAAAGGAAAAGATTTGTAAATTTGATTACAGAAAAGCAAAAAAACTTGCCCATACCCAATCCACAAAAATTGCAAAATAAGCAGAGTTGGCAATGATAACCCAAGAAAAAATATTTGTAACATATACTGAAGGATTAATATTCCTAACATATAAAGTGCTTTGTAAATAAGAGGATGGCAGCCAGCAAACCTAGAGAGAAATGGGCTGAGGAAACAAGCAGATCCCACAAAAAGAAATGCAAATAATTTAAAAAATATATAGAAACGTGCTCTGCCTCATTCATAATAAAAGAAATACAAATTGAACCTTACAATGAAATATGATTTCTCATTTATCTTGGCAAGATCCAAATATATGACAGCACACACTGTAGGTGAGAGAATGTGGAGGAAGCAGACACTCTCATTCTCTGCTGATTTTAATATAATATTATACAACCCCTATGATTTGGCAACATCTTCCAAAATAATTTGTTTATTTACCTACTGACTCGACAATCCCACTTCTAAAGATCTATCTCAAAGATACTGGGGATCTAACAACAAATGCTGGAAAAAATACATGCACAAAACTATATTATTCGAGCATTACTTATAACAAAAGACTGGAAACAACCAAAATGGTCATCAATGAAAGACATTTAAATAAAATGAAGTATACTGTGAAGCTATAAAAGAAAATAATTTTATATACTGCTAGGGTATGGTGTCAGAATACATTTTTTTAAAGGTAAAGTAGAGGTCTACCTTCAAGTTGAATAAGCCTACAGTTATCTAAGAAAGTAAGAATTTTTTCTTTACAGCTTTGAAGAAAATATGACATTCAGTAAGTTACGTGTATTTAAAGTGCACAGTTTGATCATTTCGGCATATGAAGACACCTGTGAAACCATCAACACAACCAACATAGTGAAACTCCCGAAGTCTCCCTTTGTAATCTCCTGCTCCTTTTCACCCTTCCCTGCCCCCCAAGCAGAATTTCTGGTCTAGTAGATTAGTTTGCATTTCGTGAAGTTGGATATGTAAATAATAATGCGTGATTATATTATAGTTTCTCTAGCTTCTCTCATTCAATATAATTTGAGATTCACCCTCATTGCTACACGTATCTATAATGGTTCACTTGTTTTTATTGCTGAGTAGTATTTCATTGCATGGGTGTACCACAATCTGTTTATCTTTCACCTATGGATGGATACTTGTTTTTTTTTTTTTCCAGTTTTAGGCTTTTATAAATAAAACTGCCAAGACTATCACGGAGATGAATCTGCCACAGCTGGAAATGCTCAAGAACCAGCTGGACCAGGAAGTGGAGTTCTTGTCCATGTCCACTGCTCAGCCCAAGGTGGTACAGACCAACTATGTAGAAGCCAAAGACTAAACATGCTGAATAAGAGCAACGAGGGAAGAGAATTACCCATCCCACTGACAAGTTCTATGTTTGTTCCTGAGAAGATGCATGATGTGGAAAATGTGCTCATCGATGTGGGAACTGTGTACCATGTAGAGAAGATAGCTGAGGATGCCAAGGACTTCTTCAAGAGGAAGACAGACTTCTTAACCACGCAGATGGAGAAAACTCAGCCAGCTCTCCAGGAGAAGCACGTCATGAAACAGGCTGTCATGGAAATGATGAGCCAGAAGATTCAGCAGATCACAGCCCTGGGGGCAGCTCAGGCTACTTAAGGCCTGAGAGTTTGTTGCAGAAATAATGCAGAGGAACATCCTTTGGGTGTGGCTTCCTGATGCCAGTGAAGGGAAGGGTCTTATGTTTAATGCCAATAAATGTACCAAAATAAACTGTCAAAAATTGATCTACAAGTCTTTCTATGCATGTATAATTTATTTTCACTCAGGTAACTCTCTCTTGGGTAAATGTTTAGGAGACAAATGGCTAGATCATATGACCAGTATAGGTTTACTGTCTTATGAAACTGACAAGCTGTTTTCCAAGATAGCTGTACCACTTCATAGAGCTATCACCACCAGTAGTGTATGATACTTTCCGTTCCTTCATATCTTCTCCAACACGTGGTACAATCAGTTTTAAAAATTTTAGCCATTATATTAAGTGTGTAGTGGTAACTCACTATAGTTTAAATTGACGTTTCCCTGATAATTATGCTGAACATGTTTTAGTGTGCTTACTTGCAATCAGTATATCTTCCTTGGTAAAGCATTATTTCACTGGGTTACATTTTTAGATGAATTTTTAAAGTTCTTTATGTATTCTGAATACAAATCTTTTATCAGATGCATACTTTGCAGTAACTCTTTCCCAGTGTGTAGTTTGTGTAAGTGTATTTTGAAGATATGTTTTTATTTTGATTGAGTCCAAATTATCAAATTTCTCCTTGTGAATCATACTTTTGATGTCAACTGTAAGAAATCTTTGCCTAATTCAAGTTCAGTAATTTTTTTTCCTTTTTAAATTATGGTTTTATAGCAGTTTTTTTTAAATTGCATTTTAGGTTTGGGGTACATGTGAAGAACATGCAAGATTGTTGCATAGGTACACACATGGCAGTGTGGTTTGCTGCCTTCCGTCCCCTCGCCTGTATCTGTCATTTCTCCCCATGCTATCTCTTCCCACCTCCCCACCCCCCTGTCCCTCCCCCCTTTCCCCACAATGGACCCCCGTGTGTAGTGCTCCACTCCCTGTGTCCATGTGTTCTCATTGTTCAACACCCACCTATGAGTGAGAATATGCGGTGTTTGATTTTCTGCTCTTGTGTCAGTTTGCTGAGAATGATGGTTTCCAGATTCATCCATGTCCCTACAAAGGACGTGAAGTCATCATTTTTGATGGCTGCGTAATATTCCATGGTGTATATGTACCACATTTTCCCTATCCAGTCTATCATCGTTGGGCATTTGGGTTGGTTCCAGGTCTTTGCTATTGTAAATAGTGCTGCAATGAACATTCGTGTGCACGTGTCCTTATAGTAGAATGATTTATAATCCTTTGGTTATATACCCAGTAATGGGATTGCTGGGTCAAATGGGATTTCTGTTTTCCTCAAGGACCTAAAAATAGAAATCTCGATAAAATTTTTCTCTTAATTTTTCCTAGAAGTTTTATAGTTTTAGGTATTAAATTTAACTCTACAACCTGCTTTGAGTTAATTTATGTATATGATGTGAGGTATGGCCCAATTTTTTGCTTATAAATATCTAACAGTTTTGGTATCATTTGTTGAAAAGACTTTCCTTTCTCCATTTAACTGTCTTTGCACCTTTGTCAGAGGTCTATTGTCATACATATATAAATCTATTT